GTTCTCACGAAGTTTATTCTACATAAATCCTTAAACAGCGAAGTTCGAGGTGTACTGAGTTGAACCTCAAAACGATGAGGAGCTACAGTCCGTCACGTATTTCTGAAATGTACCGCTCTTGGTAGAATCAAATGTGCCAAGTCACTTGAACACCTCCCGTGAAAGTATCTATAAAAGAGAGACAAATCTCGAACCTTTCTTTGATGATCTAGTCTAGACTATCAAGGTTGCAAGTGATGTTCTTGTCTCCAGTTAGATGGACCTAGCAGCTTCAGGGTATGTTTAGGGGGAAAGCTCCATACATGAGAACAATTAAAAAATATCTTCCGACCTAGTTATAGGTCATGTACTTATCAAACTGGTTTGATTCGTCCTTATTATGTATGTCAGCTGTATAAATTATGTAAATAAAAATCCACACCGTGTTATCCTAGCAACAGAGAGTATTGTGTTAGCTTGACAGATGTCCCAAAAATTTGCTTCATTTTATTTATTAAAATTTTCAGAAAAGGTTCGCCACCAGCCGTAATTTTCATAGAACACAAATGGTGTTCATTGAAAGATATCCTTGGATATTTCAAACAGCTGAAAGTGTAGCTAGAGCCAGAGTAGCTAGAAGACAAGAAACATATAAATCGTTAGGTCTGTAGTGAAAAACACCCTATACGTCAGAAGTTTCACCCTTTACTTGTTTTCGTGATGAATGCTATTTTTTGCTTATTTTTTGAGAAGGTCACACGAGAAGGTCACTCCTGAGGAAAAAACTGAATTCAAAAATCATGTTTTCCAACAAGATGGTGCGTCTTCTCTTTATTTTAGGACTGTAAAGGATTGGTAAGATCGGACATACCCAGGCACGTGGATTGGTAGGCGTGGTCCGTTGTTTTTTTGGGGTTATATCAAATCGAAAGTTTATGTTACGCAATCTGGGATATCACAAATCACTTGAAATAGCTAATGTCTTAGCGAAACATGTTGTGATATATTTTTCAAATAAAGTTTGTGGAGATCAAATGGTTGAGGTGTAGTTTTTTAAATCAATCTGGGATAGTCCGAGGACAATGAGTTCGAAAATAGACTGGTTTACTGTTAGGAGGTTCAAGGAGAACATTTTGAACATTTGCTTAAATTATTTTTCATGTATAAGATAAATAACGAGGTTAAAATAGAATGCTTTCGTTTTATGGCCTAACTTTATATACATCTACACTTCGAAAATATTGACGGTTTTCGAGATATCTAGCATGACAGGTTTTTTTTCTAATATTCGTCACTCAGAATATTTGAAATTATCAGGTTGTGCCAAGTCCAATTGAATTTTTTTTGGTCAAATATTCTACATTGGTAACTCTCTCAATCGATATATCTGAAGTCGACCTGTGATATACAGAGTATGAAAAACCGCTTGCCACATATTGTAAATAAAAATTTGCAGAATCTTCCTTATTTTGAATGGAATACCCTGTATATTATTGATCCATAAGGAGCGACAACGAAACCTCTACAAATTTCATTAAGTATTCCCTATGACTAGGTAAAATAGTTTTTTTTAAAAAGCATTTTTCTCTAAAAATGGTCGTTCTTCTTATTTCTTCCATAAACTCGATTTTTTTCAAAGCGAAATCCATTTGACGACTGATGAATGTACGAAAGATACCTTATTTCAATTTTGTACATGATAGCGTGTCCTATAGTTTTTCTTATTTTTTTTTTCTAAAATGACAACTCTCCATTGTATCGCCATAATATCAATGATTTTTTTACTGTGAAATCCATATGTGACGACTGTGGTCGAGATATATGTTATGTTTATAACACATTCATTCCCTAAATAGAACACCGTGCAATTTCTTCATTTGATAGTTTTCATGCATAGTTTTTGTCCAAGCCTTTCCTTAAAATATCGCCCCATGCCTAAAATTATCTGTTGCTAGATAAACAAGTTTTGAATTACACTGCAAAATGTACATACTTGAATAATTACAAAAATTTCAATAATCGAAATTTGTGCCATATTTTTTCGGTCTGAAACAACTTCAGCGAATAAAATAAAATTAAACGATTTGTTGAAACCGGATGTATCAATTATTCTAAACATAAGCGCATCAAGCCAACTACTAATGAAGATAAAATGAATTGCAAGTTCTTCTTGCTGTTGAAAAAAACCCTAGTAGGAGTCAATGACAAATTGGTGGAATAGTGGATATAAGAGAGAGATCAGTGCAACGAATTTTGAAGAAACATCGCTTTCATCCATCTCATACTACTGTATGCCGATTTTGAGAAAAGAGTGGGATTTTGCAATTGGGCCCTGGAAAAAAATCGTCGAAACAAATATTTTTTCAATAACATTTTATGGATTTAACAAAACTGGATTTTTTCTTATGGGGATACATAAAAAATATGGTTTACGTCGAGCCACCGAGCCACCAACTTCTTCCGAAAATATGTGACTTAGAATAACGAATGCTTTTGGCAGCATTACACCAGCTGTCTTGCGTAGGATAGAACAGTCTTTCAAACATAGACTTCAGCTCTGCATTCAAAAAAATGGAAGACATGTCGAACATATTTTATAAAAGTTTCATTACCAACCTTCATTAAACTCTTCCTTTTTTAGTTTTGTAGTTTGTCAGTTGACAAATTTAAATATCTAGATCCTAAGCCCTGAATTCATGAATATACACCATAACATGAAAAAAAATAGTAATATTCACAATGTTTTCTCATTTAATCTTGTTTGGTTTGATATCGCACGATTTCTGGGAAAAATTCTGCGTCCAGTGAAAAAAATAATTTTCCATTTAGAAAAATGTGATAGGTACATATCTACATTTATTTCGTAAAAAATATTTGTTTGGACACGCTATAATGTACAAAATTGAAACAAGATATTTTTCGTACACTCTTATCAGTTGTCAAATGGATTTCGCTTTGAAAAAAGTCTTTGATCGAGTTTATGGCGTAGAAATAGGAAGAACGATCATTTTTCGAAAAAAAATGCTTTTTCAAGAAAAACTATTGAACCTAGGCATAGGGAATTCTCAATAAAATTTGTTCGTTTGAGAGAGTTACCACTGTAGAATATTTGACCAAAAAATAAATACAATTGGACTTGGCATAACTTTATTATTTCAAATATTCTGAGTGACGAATATTTGAAAAAAAAGCTTGTCATGCTAGATATCTCGAAAATCGTAAAAATGTTCGAAGTGAAGATATACATGAAGTGTCTTTTATTTTCTATGTAGAAACCGAAAAAGCGATAAAAATATAGGTTGCTATTTGAAAAAACACAGTTGGGATCCGCTCAGAAAAAATTGAACACCCTGTGTGTCCGACAATATTTTTATTTTGTGGGGCTCGTGCAATGAGTAAATATTATAGAAATCTGTTTCCCAAATACAGTGTTTTTGACTTGTTTCGGTATCCTTAGTGAATTTTACCATCTTTTATTCAACCTACAATGTTTATACAGTCTGTACAAGTCAAATGGAATTTAATAATTTTTTCGGTTACGGTACATGTTTTAACAGAATCCCGAAACACGTCAAATTTAAATTATAATTTGACATATTTCAACGGAAAAAACGCTACCCCTACCTTCAACCCCCGTCGAATGACAAATGGGAAATGTAGGCTTATGGTATATCGTTCGATAGTTATCTCCATTCTCTATTCAAAAATGTTATCGCTTTTAAGTTTATTGTAACAATTAAGATAAAATGAATTAAAATCATGAGGTTACCGAAATTCGATAAAATACACACAAAACTTATTGCAACATACTCAAAACTTATTTTATGTTGAGGTATTGGTAATAAGAAAGTAAGCAAAAACCATAGCAATGTTCTTTTTAGATGGTATCCTTTAAAAAACTGTAAATAATGTATGTGGCAACGTTAGTTTAAAACGCCTTGTCAACTTGTTTTGTATATTACAACATTAGTTGTCAGTATTTTAATTTAAGTTTAAAGTTCGTTAACTTCAAGTCTGACAAATGGTTAGATTAACGAAAAAGCATAAAATAACAGTTTTACAAATGATTAGTAACGTAGATAAAACCTGAACACAACAGAAAGTAGCTCGCCTATTTCATGAGAAATTTCCTAATTTACCGCCCATATCTCAAGGAACAATAAGCAAAATACAGAACCAGTTTCGCGTGCTTGGTCATGTGGGGCAGATAAAAAAGCATCTGCCAATGCGATGAATGATGAACTCAAATTATATGTGATGCTTGAGTTTGAGGAAAACCCACATACATCAAGTAGACAGGCATCCAGTATACTCAAAGTTAGCCATACATAGATAGTAAACATATTGAAATAAAATTAAATGCATCTCTATAAAATGATTCCTACTCCGGAACTCATGGAAGACGATTTTGATAGAAGAACTTATTTTCGTAAGCCAATGATGGACATGTTGGATAACAATATCATCCAATTAGAAGACGTTATGTTTTCTGATGACTGTACATTGTCTCTTGACGGTCATGCTAATCTTCAAAATTGCCGCTAGTGGTCAACGGAAAATCCTCACTGGATGAAAGAAAAACACACGCAATACCCTCAAAAGGTGCCTTGTCAATGGCAAACGTACTCTTGCATATTTGGACAGCGGCAGCCAAGTCAACATTATTCATTCAAGCTTTGTCAAGGAAAATGATCTTCAACCTACCCTGTAAGCAATTCTTTGAAAGCTTTTGGTGGAGCTATTATAACAACAAAGGAAGCTGTGAACTTTACTCTAGAACTGGATGGAATCAATCTAGAAACATCCGCTTTCGTCACCGATGCTGACATGGAAAATTTTAATTTGATAATTGGACAACCCGTGATAAATACTGAGGGAGTCGCACTCGTTATTTGTTCAGGAAGAGCCAAGTTAACAAAATCGGATTTTGATTTGTTGGAGAAGATACTTTGGAAGCCAGTGGAGTACTTCCCAAGATTATCGTTAGCGAAGACATCATTATACTCCCCCGTTCTACGACAATGGTACCAGCTAAAATTATCAACATCCACGAAGATGAAGAAATATTTATGGAGAGTAGGCATTTTCAACTAGAAAAATGTTTGTTTAGTATTCCTGGAATTGTAATTAGAGGTCCAAGCTGTATGGTGCCCGTTTCTAACATGAGTGAGGAAATGGTATGGAAAGAGGGTAAATTAATTGGTAGAGGATGTAGATGTACCAACTTCACTACTATGGGAAGGCCCAGGGTAAGTCTATTGAAAAACAAATGTGGTTTCTAGAAAATTTGAAATAGATCAGGTAGATGTTAATGATAAATTTTATTCTGAGTCAAAAAAAAGTTGGTGGTATTCTGAATGAGTAGCAGCATTGTTTTGCTGACAGTTCGGCACAGTTAGAATCTGTTGAGGGTTGTGAACTTGAAATTACACTGATTGATAAGTCTAAACCTGTATGTTACCGCCCTTATAGATAGTCCGGGAGCCGGCGACAAAATCACTGTCAAATCTTATTCACCGCCGTATTACCGCCTGATGGTGACTACAGTGAATTTCTGCTTTTATTCAGCGGAATTCTCTCAGAAATTGATGATGAGACTACATCAATAATCATTGGCGGAGACTTCAATGTCAATTTTCTATTACATAGCACCAATCTTACTCTTCTAGAGGACCTGCTATCTTCTTATGACATTGAAATCGGTTTGAGAATGCCAACAAGGGTTACGGCAAACTCAAGGACATGTATTGATAACTTTTTTATCAAAACAAGCCACCCCTATAATGTGGATATAGTAGGCCTTCATCTTTCAGATCATTACTCACAATTTTTGAAAATTACTTCTGATCTGCAACATGAAGTCAGTAATGGCAAGAAAATAGTTTTTCATATCGTCGTGACCTATGCAATGAAAATATTGTGAGATTTCGTAATTATTTATCACAAGAAGACTGGACAGATGTATGTGCTCAGAGTTGCCCCAACTTAGCATATGATGCTTTTAGTAAAACTCTAACATATTATTTTGAAATATCGTTCCCAAAAACAAAAATTACCTTAGGGCTACCAAAAAAAATTACTTCACACAAAATAATGATGACTCGTGAAATAAGGGAGCTAAAAAATAAAGTTTCGTTGTTTAATACATTAGCTAGACATGAAAATAGATATAAGGAAGAATGTAAGAAGTGCAATAAAGAATACAGAGAGAAACTGCAATCGCTGAATAGACAATATTATGATGAGTTGATATTAAACTCATGCAACAAATCTAAAACAACTTGGGCCATAATTAAGGAATTACAAAAAAAGAAAACTATGGAACATGGTGAAATAGTTATAACAGTCAATGATATTCAATATTCAAATGAAATGATAGCTGAAAAATTTAATCCACATTTTACTAGGACTATATCTGAAAACGTCTCCGTTGACACAAAGTTTCTCGAGAGCAATGTCACCTTAAATAACTCAAGCTTTTTTATGTTTCCAATTACTGAATGGGAACTCACACAAATGATTAACAGATTGAAAAACTCTAACTCCACTAGGATTGATGAAATCTCCAATAAAATAATGAAAATTTGCTCTAATGAATTATGTGGTGTCCTGACCTTTTTAAATAATCTCTCAACCCCAAAAGGGGTATCTCCTATTTTTAAAAAAGGTGATCCTAACAATATNTAAGAGCCTATATCTACATGTATTAATATTTTTATATGTATGCATATATTTTTGTGCAGTTTATGTACTGTACATCTTTCCTTCCTCTTTTAACCTAATATTATTGTGATATACATTTATATTTATACTGACATGTCCTATGCCCTCAGGGGTACTGTATTTTTATCCTAAACAAATAAATTTTATCTATATATCTATTCGGAAATTCGATAGTTGCACTTCCAGTTGAAAGTCAAATATCTTCATTAGTCGAATGACGAAAACTACCAGAGAGTTTGATACAAATTTTTCCAGTATTTCAGCAAATGGACTTACTGACAAAATTGGTCTGTGAGAATCGCTCCTGATTTGTTTTTTGGTTTTATTTTAGCTATTTTACTTAATGGTGTTTTCGTGTTCTCATTTTCAGATTATACAAATGAAGAGGATAGAGATAGACCAAGGCAGATCACTTCCTCCAGTGCCGACAGCAAATTCAACCCCAGTAAGAAACAGTGCCAACAAAAACAGTGGAACTCCCAATTCCCTCAAAAACTCTACGACGAATAAAAGCTCTCCTTTGATAAAAAACGCTCTGAACAAATCCAGTGCGACTCCAAACGCAAAGACCTCCAACTCTAACCGCAATAGTGCTACGCCCAACGGGAATAGGAGCGCTACCATTGGCAGAAATAATGCTACCCCCATCGGTAGGCGTAGTGTCACGCCCGTCGGCAACAGGCATAGCTCTTCGTTTACTTCAAATAGGAATAGCTTGTCTCCGCACATAAATAAGAGCGGAGCTACTCCGAACTCCGTTAAGATCGGCTCGGGAGGAGGCAGACATAAAAGAAAAAAAGGGGGGACAAGTTTTTCGGCCACTACATCTGTGTTGAAAGACAATTACTCGGATGCGGAGGCAGAACCAGATGAGGATGTAAGAGCATAATGTTTATATATTTTTCTTTTTTAGCTAGAGTTTCCCACTTTTGATGTTCGGTAATCTTGTGAACAAGTACAATTTTTAAAGTATTATTAGAATGAAGAAATACTTCCCTACGCTAAAAAAGAAAGGAGAGTATAAATTTGAAAACAGTTTTTCATAAGATTCATAGATTTTGAATTTGGAAAAATTGTATACTTTCTTAATGGCATCCTGAATAATAAAACAAACATGAAACAAAACTCATTAAAAGTATGTATTATTGAAAAGTAAATTGAAAGGGGTGATATTTTTTGGGAAAGAAGTTTACCACTTTGTTTTGTATGAAGATGTAGAAAGCCAAAAATATTTTTTCTTTGGAAATAAATCAATAAACTATGTGAATTTGGAAACCTGAAGTTTTTGGTTAATAAAAAAATATAACTATTTGTTTAAAATGTTGTGTCACGAAACTTAATGTGACAAACCAAATTCTACGCGGGCAAAGCCGGGCAAGTAGGTTCTTCACCGCCTTTTTGAAATGAATATTGCTTAAATTTGCAGATCTCATTTGTAATGGTAAATGATTGAACAATTGACCACCATTATAGTATATGGAATCCTTGATTAAATTCGAAGTTGGGATCATGGCAACAGAATTCAGAGTGGGGACGGAGTGAGAGAGTAATAGATAGAAAAAAAGTTAATAGAGAATAGAGGAATATAAACTCGGAGAGGAAAATAAAGGTATCTCACAGCTGCACGCTTCAAACTTTATCGACGAATTTTTGTTATTTCGGCTTATTTCGTCAGATTATATATTTTTCGTTCTCCTTGAATTATTTCCTTCAAAATAAAAAAAAAATTAGCTACGCTCGAGACTCAAAACGACGTTATTTTTTTACAACTTTGCTGCCCTCCCCTTTCTTTACGTCACTCTCTTTTTGTCAGATTACTGGAATATACCCTTTTTAGCATGTAATTAACTCACCCTACCTTAATCTGACGCGTTTGAGAATTTCTGATGATCAATTTTATTTTACTAATCTGATCCTTCATCCCTCACAGGCGGCCTTATATATGGGGCTCATATTTGGTGGAGGTACTTAACCGGGTACAAGGTATCCCCCTGTATATTAATCTGCCGCGCTTTAGTAAATCCCGAAATCCCCGCTTGGACTCCCCTATTACAATAAGTGATTCTTTAAATTTACTCAAAAAAACAATCGAACATCATTTATGAGTAACACATGTTTCTACTCAAATTCAAAGTGATGTTTGTGCTGTTTCAATATTTTGAAGCTTTGTAATTATAATTTTTTACTTTCCCATAAATACCACATTCACTTGTCTGTTATGACCACACTTGATTCAAATTGAATTGATATTAACTTTTTGTTGACAGCCTCGAGCCGCTTCTCTGGTAGACCTGAACAATCCCCAGTGGAAACTTTTCGAAGCAGTTCGGATCGCAGTTGGTAGCAATGGTGCTCCTCTGTGCGATCCCTTTTGGAAGTTACCGTCACGTCGTCTCTATCCAGACTATTACCGGGAAATAAAAAATCCCATGTCACTGGGCCAGATTAGAAGGAAATTAGTTTTGAAATTGTACGGAACTGTCAGTGAAGTGGCTGGCGATTTGACGATAATGTTTGAAAACGCAAAAAAGTATAATATAGCCACATCTAAATTATATAAGGTAGGTAGCATTTCATTATATATGTATATCTCATTTGTTAGAATCACAAATTTGAGTCGATCTATTCTGGAAATTGTCCTCTTGTCTTGAGTATATCCCGCTCGAAAGACCAAATTCAACTGTTGGGACTTATTCTCATGTTCGTATCATCTTGACATGTCCCCCTAGATTGATTTTGATTAGTTCGAGCTCATTTCATTATTTTTATATTTTTAAGGATGCCGTAAAGCTGCAAACTCTGATGCAAGCAAAAGTTCAAGAACTACTTGATGTTGATCAGGTAACACAAAGAGTCACTAACAAAAACCGGAAGGTATGCTACTGCACTGCTTATGTTTCATTTCCGTGTAACCTATTTGTTTATTTGTTACTTTCGGTTGTTACCAAAAAGCTAGTTTTGCGGGCAAAAATATATTTTACGATAAGATCAGTATAATGGAAACAACCATTCACTTCTTCAAAATTTGAAAATGAACTGAAAATTGATGATTGTTAAAATTTCTGGATCTAATATGAAAATAACCTTTTTTTTCCCTCAACATTTCTTATTTTGCTAATTTGGTTAGCGAGCGAACATTAAAATTAATTTGTGTACCACATTATTTATTTTCATTTCATTAATCCCAAAAAGAGTTCTTACATAGAATGGATAAAGTGTATGAGATCTGTGAACATTCAGTTCTAAATGCAGAGACACAAAATATATTGAAGAGATTTCGTATTTATAAGATATAAAAAACATCTGGGTATACCCCAAGGCTCTGCTTCGAGCCTAATTCTCTTCTAGATATATATTAGTGATTTGGCATTCCAGATACCCAGTAACATTACCTTTTTGACATGAAAACCTATGGCGATCTTATTTCCAATCGCCGAACACCTTGGATGCATAGAGTTGAATCTAGCCACTAAGTTAACAGAGTAAATGTAGTGCTCTACATGTTGGGTTACAATTCACAAATTGACGGTGTTGGAAAGACATCCATCCCCTGTGAGATTTTTCAATAAATCACCTCTATTCTATTCTCTATTCTTATTATTATCATTAATTAATATCTAAGCAAGGTGTTACATGAATAGATCTTCAATGAAGCAAATTAATGACCAACATCTGCTACCAATTTTGTTAGATGTTCTTTCATAGATTCAAGAAGACCTATGATCTAAGATGAATGAATAAGGTGGGTTTCAAAATCTAACCTTGAGGTACTCCAATATCAATGGATCTCTTAGCTGTAAGAAGGTTGTTAGGTTCCTTTTTTTATCAGACAAAGAAAGGTTTAATGATTGATTTTATTGATAAATCAGTGTAATTTGCAAAGTTTATAAGGTGTTCATTTATGATGGAAGAATAAATGAAGACACACTTTTCCCTTTCATTCAGTTTAATCACCTTCAGTTTCTAATTGCATGATAAATTAATATTGAGGCAATCTGAAACAGAATCTATAATATGACATGAACACTTCTGTGGCAGTATTGAATATAATGCTGCATATCATATAAAATTTGATATTATAACAACATATATAGGTATACCGCAAGGAAGTGTAGCGGGCCCACTGTTTTTCGATATATTTATGAATGATTAATGCAAATCTAAATTAGCAGATAATCAATTTATAACTTTATATGCTGATGATACAAGCCTTCTGGCAGGGGGAGACACATATTCGGAGATGATAGTAAACTGTCATAATATATTTCAAAAAACAAATAAGTTAACATTATCGAGTCCAGAAGTAAAGTGATAATATTTGCAAACTATCTAACAGCAGAGAAAAAACCAAATGAGATATAATTTACCAATACTACCTTTCAGTTATCGCATGAGACCAAGTTTTTTGATGATGAATGGCTGAATGGCTGAACAAGTTTTTAGGTGTTTACATTGATGAATGGCTGAACTGGTCACAACATATAGAGGAAATCTCTTCGAAGCTTGGAAAAGTGTCCTATGGATTAAGAATAATCAGTAAACATTTAGAAAAGCAAGCAGTTTCATCTCTTTATTCTGCAAATTTTGAATCCAATAAGAATACAAAAAGAATATTTGTTATTCAAAAAAGAGTAACGAGAAGCAAATTTAGTTTGTTTGCAGATGACACCTTAATATACTACTGTTTCCGTAATGTTAATGAGTTTGTAGATACTCTAAATAGTGAGCTCTGCAGAGTTAGTTGATGGTATAATCTCAACATTCTTAAACTGAATAATGAAAAGACGAAATTTCTCTTACTGAGTAATAAAACAGGTTATGACAAAATAAAAAATAGAGGAATGAGTATAAATATTGCTAATGAGGATATTGAAAGTGTATGTGGTGAAGTATTTGGGAGTATTGATTGACCAAGGACTAACATTCAAAGAACATGTATTGAAATTGATATAAACTATCACCAATAAGGTCAATTTTCTGGTGAGAGGATCACTTAGCCGCCTAGCCTATCTATATGGTCGAAAATTGCAATTTATAATACATCGTTTTACCACATCTTACTTTCTGTTCTTCAATACTATTTACGGCTAATAAAAACAAGTTGGATCGACTTCAAAAGCAACAAAATAGAGCTATGAGAATCATACTGGGTGTACCAAGAGACACGCCAATAGTCAACATGTTGAAAGAATTGAATATATGTCATTAAAAGACTATATGTACTATCAAACAATGGTATTGATATGCAAGATGCATCACCATCTATCTACGAACTACTTGAGCAGAAAAATAACATAATGAAAACACGAATAAAACGCTAGGAGGCATGACCTCATTTAATATCATACATTGAGACTTACTGAAAAATTTCCCTACTATATAGCAATGAAATTTTTACAAGTTACCAGTACTTGTAAGACGTTCTGCCAGTAACAATCGATAAAAAAAAAATAAAAAAATACTTATAGATCTAGAACCCTATTGTGTTGAGGATTTTTTAAAACATAGTTTTGAAATATCATTGTGTGTGACGTCATTTCATTATATGTTGTAATTGTTTTTTTATACAAATAATGGTAGCATTAAAAAAAAACATTATTATCATCATCATGTTATGAGTATTTTATAATGACAATTATTGAACGATTATTTTAGTATGGAATCTTATTATTGAGGAAGAGTAGAGTTGATAATCCATTGTTTTTTGGTAACAATTGAAATGTAACTGTAGTGTTCTTTGTTTTTGCTTTGCACTATTCAACAATAAACGCTTGCTTCTGCTATTAACTTTTTTGCTGGAGTAGCTCTTATTTGAATCATATTCAGTTCCGGGATGGGATTTCAGATATTTACAGAGACCACACCAACTGAAGAACCGGTCAGAAGGAAACCCGGGCCTAAACCTAAAAACCCCACACCTGGTCCTCACACTCCGAGCAGAGGAAGACCACCAAAAGATTCGATGTCTCTCAAGAAAAAATTGCATACTTTGGCCAAATACATGTTAGATTATACGGTGAGTGAGTTTTAGGGCTGCGGCTTGTGTTTTTTGTCTTGAAAAATGTGTTAAATGTTTCTCTTTATTCTGTCCTTAGTGTGAAGATGGTAGGAAGCCAATGTTGGCTTTTATGGAGAAGCCCTCTAAAAAATTGTACCCCGGTTATTATAAAGTGATAGCGGAACCTATAGATTTCCTGGAAATCGAGTCCAAAATTAAGGCGGAACAGTACAGCTGCGAGAACGACTTGGTGAACGATTTCAAATTGATGTTCAGCAATTGTCGGCAGTTCAATGAAGAGAATTCGCCCATTTACGAAGACGCCAACTTGCTGGAAAAGATCCTCATAGATAAAATATCTCAGCTTAAGCCAATCACTGTCACTCCGGAAAAGCCTAAGAGGGAAAGGATAGTTTTGAAACCGTATGTAGAAATTTTTTTTTTGGCATGGCGAACGTAGCACATAAATTTTATCCACTTGAATTGAAGAGCTTCATCATCTTGTCCAAATACATCAAAAAAATCACACTGAAATAGTTATTAATTCCAATATTTTTTTCAGAATTCACGTTTTCAAAAGGATACTCAAAGCATACCTTTTGAAAAACTGTTTTAATTCAATTCAGGATTTTATGAACTCGCCCTGTATAGACTGATATCTTTCAAGCTTTTGTTTTTGATCTAAACATTGTCCTAGTTCTTATTTTTTAATTTTGAATTTATACTCTTTTAATTATGATTGTATTTATTTATTTATTCATTCATTGCATAAATTACTCTTTTAAACAAAGAGTATGTTTAATGGATCTGTGTGTCATCTGAAATTGTGAATGATGTGGGAGTTCCGCAAGGAAGGGTCCTTGGCCCATTGCTATTCATATTCATTAATTTTTTGCGGTGATACTCTGTTAGCTTGTAGCGATTGTAGATTGGATGGAGCAATACAAAAAATGAATTTAGTTTTGAAAGATGTACATTAATATTCAACAAGGAATAAACTTAAATTGAATGTTTCCAAAACTGAAGGAATGCTTTTAACAACAAAATATAAATATAATAATGTCAATGTCAATTGTATCAACTTACACCTGAACAAACAATAGAAACAAAAAATAGAACAAAAAATTGAAATAGTTTTGTCAGTTAAGTACCTAGGTTTTCAGATAACTGCTTGACTTTTGAAAGTCAATTTGAATATATACACAAAAAAATTTCGAAAAAGTTTTTTTTTACAGATTTGCACAAATGCTCTCAATGGAAGCCAAAATAAAGATTTATAACACAATAATTCAGCCACACTTTGATTACTGCTCATCACTGTTATTTTCTTTTGACCTTAACAAAATAAATCACCTCCAAAAGTTGCCAAACCGTGGGATGAGAATCATTTTGAAAACAAATAGACATACACCTATTGTTAATACTGACTTTCCTGACTTTAGGGAAAAAATTTAGTTTATCCTCATAAGCAAAAATTGTTGCCCCCTTCATTAACCAATATTCCCATTTTGATTCTTTCAAATCCGACAGTGTTGTATCCCGCATTATCACTTGAATTCAACAGCCCTCACTATGAATATTCATAAAAAGTAGGTGGGACTTCCTTTTAGAAGATAACTAAATATAATTGGCCAAAAATATGATAATCCTTCAAAAACCACACTCAGAAACAAAAAATAAGATGCAAAGCTAACAAGTGAATAAGTTGAAAGTGACTGAACTTTTTCCAACCATTTTCCACCCCAAAAAGTTCCAGACAAAAATTTCATAAGATTTATAGTGATATGAATTCTGTTGCCTATTCAGCAGCTGTATTCTGTGACTTTTCCAAGGCATTTGATCTCGTTGATCACGGAATCTTACTGCGGAAGCTGAAACATTATGGTTTTGAGCACAGAAGCATTAGATGGTTTGAATCGTACTTATAGCATCGAAAGCAAATTGTAAGACTCAACCGACTCAAATGTAGGAGAAATCAAAGCAGGTGTCTCTCAAGGTTCCATCCTAGGAGCCATCTTGTTTCTATTGTATATTAATGATATAACACAACTGGATCTAACTGATAGCATCACATTATTTGCAGACGACAGAACGTTGCTGTGTCAGGGAAAAGATCCTACAAAACTAGCTCAAGATGCCACTGTAGACATGGAAAAAATTAAGAGCTGGTGCGACTCAAATAAGCTTTTTTTAAACTTTGATAAAACCCATCTCCTCACCTTCAAATGTGAACTCCCACCTCTTAGTTTGAATAACAACATTCTCGAGATGAAATTGTCCTTCAAATTCTTAGGACTTCACATTGGTAATAAACTTGAATTTGAGGATCATATTATCAAGTTGAATAAAAAACTTGCATCTGGCTGCTTTGTAGTGAAGTCAGTTTCGAAGGAACTGGGTAGAACCTTTGCAAGATCTGCGTACTTTGCCTTTGTGGATGCACATATAAGATATGGGATTGCCTTCTGGGGAGTATGCAGCAAAAGCATGCTGCAGACCGTTTTCGTTTTACGGAAGCGAGCTGTCCGGTATGTGTGGGGCAAAGTTCCAAGATCACTGCAAACCATTATTCATTGAACAACGAATTCTGACAGTTATATATTCATTCTTGAAACAGTGAGTCTGATTCATAAAAATATATCTGCTCGTGAGGATATTAAGGAGCCACACTATAATACACACAAGCTAACTTGATCAGACTTCCCCTGCCTACAACAACAATGGTGAAGGACTCGTTGATATGCAATGGAATAAAGATGTACAACAAAATTCCCATATACCTGAAGAGTTATTCTTTGAATATTTTAAGGAAAAAATTAAGAGACATTCTGATTGATAAATCCTATTATAGTTTAGATGAATTTTGCAATGACAACACTTTTTATGAATTATAGTTTACTACTGTATGTCACTACAATATAGCATATTTTTTTAAGGAAATTTTGAATTTTAAATTGTATAGCATTTATTTTGTTTCTTAAAAATGTGTTTGACACCCTATTTTATATAAATGGGCTTTTAGGAATTACTTTTATACTACTTTGACATAGTTCATAATCGTTTGTCAACAAGAACTCTTTCTTAGGACAATAAACGTCTCTCTCTCTCTCTCTCTCTCTCTCTCAAAATTGAAAGGTTTGCAGTTTTTCTCCAAAATTAAAAAATACATTTCAATAGGAAATAGATTTTCTACAACATTTCCATTTACTTTTACCATTGAAAGTGACCAGTTTTTCTATGTTTTCTATAATCCACGAAATCCAGGTCTTATCTAGTAGCTTTAGGGTACAAGTGAACATAAAAAAACCCGGTACGTTCAACAAATTTGTTCCGGTTTCTTGATTTTTTTCTTCCTTCAACATCTTGAATTCAACTCAATTTTTTTTTTCAGTTACAAACCAAGGCGGATACTCTCCCCTTTGGAGAGAACCCTGAAGAGCCTCTACGAATCCATCAGGTATTACAGAGAGCCGAAAGACAACAGGCAGCTCTCACAGATATTCATGAAACTACCCTCGAAAATCGACTATCCCGACTACTA